GAGAGAAATAAAAAGAGAGAGATAATAAGAGAAAGAGCGAGCTGATGGTCTCAATTATTGAACAAAAAGGGACTTCGGCCAAACCTAAGACCGCACGAATTCGGTCTTCGTTCCTTGTCTGTTTGAGTTTATTTTTACTTTGTGGCTCAGCTCGTCCCCTTTTGCAAGAGGGGAGACAGCATTTTCGTTTTGTCTACCACCAACCCAGTCGACCCTAATTTGCAGGTGTGTATGTGACTTCATTTGTGCTACTGTATGGCATAAGAGTCGTTGTGCGGGCCAGACGAGTAAAGCAGGCCTCTCTGCCAAGGCAGTGGATTCAGGCAGTGCCAGAATGCCTCCAAAAGCCATGGCCGCCATGAGCAGGTGCGTTGATGCAAGACATGACATTTGAGCTGCCTTAAAACCAGAACGCGGCAAAGCGCTCTTCTCGCCATTTGATGCCCCACTTTGCGGTAAGCTCCACTTTCAGTCAGTACAGAACCAAGGCGACCGACATTGAATACTTTTTCTCCTATTCTCTCAAGACTGGTCAGTCAATCAGAAACTGTTTGCTTAATTGATATAAGTAGTATGTTTGGGCTAGCAATGTGTATAATGGTAACTTTAAATGGGTGAAATAGGGTAGCATGGAGGAAGAGATGGACGAAATAGAGTCCATCTCACTTGCCCCGCCAGCCTGGTTTCCATGGATTTAAAGATAATGATAAATTGAATGAAATCAACTCTCTTAATTCCGTCCAATCGGCAAAATTTGTGGCCAAGGTAACACGGCAAGCGACAAAGAAAATGCTTTGTTAGTCTAAACCACTTTTACGATGTGATCGTCAATGCTAGTGAACCTAAAGTATGCTTGTCGATTCGAGCGAGTCTGTAAAGTTCTACCAAAACTTGAAGGAACTTCAGACGCAAGAATGACTTGTTAATTACGAGCACATTTTCTATCTTCCAAATATGCATAGTTGCCACGACGATCATTCGTTAAGGCTTGTGGGTCTAATTATGATAGTCGTGGCTAAATTTTCAACTTAAAATCGCAAAACAATTACTCTTGTTTACAGGTTCCCACTCTCGGGAAGTGACAGGGAGACCTCAGTCTCGGGACAATGTGATTCCATCAAAGCAGTCAATAGTTTAGGCTAAAAATGGCGTGACATTTGGTTTGATCGCGATTTAATTGAATCAAATGGATCTGATTTGGCCATGATCTATCGGCATTGTCGTTGTTTCGGGGAAATTTCTAATAAACTATCACGTACCTATTGCGTGCTCTGTCAGTGTTGTCATGTGTTCTTTCAAATTGGCATAATTTGCTGACTACAACCCCAAACGTTAACATCGAACCAAACCTCGTCAAGGCAATAATTTGAAACAATTTTCTATTCGACACTTCTACTATCTCTCCTCCCATTCTCCTAAAACCTGCTTTCTCGCAGCAAAAAAGGATAGAGAGATTCCTTTGCCATTTACACTTGGACTTAAGGATGAGAATAAAAATCGAGTGCAGATTGCAACACAAAGAATGTAGAGGCAGCAGAATCGTTCAAAAGTAGTTTTGATCACTTGTGTGAATTGTTACTCGGTGCTAGGAATGGCTGTGGAATTTCTAGGAATGTACCAAACCTAAGCTTACACCATCTATGCCTTTGCATATATATCAGTTTATTTTGGAACGGAGATGAGTGTGAATTTAGCTAACTTGTTTTCACTTGCAATTTTTAAATACTAGTAATTAGTTCGTTAGTAGCATTCAATAATATAATTAGGCTGGGCAGGCTACCAATCTGGTTGAAAAGAAAATAATACTGATGTGAAAGTGAAACTGCTATCCATATATGAATTAAAATGATCCCGGGGTTTGAAGTTATGTATGAAATGCATTGATATTGTCAAACAGGCG